AATGTTAATTCTAGTAAAAAATGAAAATAATTTACATACACTTAATACTAATTACTATCAAAGGATGAATATTTTGTTTGACTCGCCCAAGATCATCCGCAAGGATTGCAGTATATAAAAAAAATTCGAATAGTTTTTTAATTTTAAGGTTTCGACAGTTGTCAAAATCGAAACTAGTTTTGACGATTTCAAAGCCCCGAAAGTTGCAACGGGTGGCAAACCTTTGATTTAAAATGATAGAATTTCCTTCCTACCTTAATTTTTTTTTAATTTTGAGGAAAAAAGTCGTGAAAAAAGTTCTTCAATGTTTTATATTTAGAATTATATCTGAATCTTTGGATTAACCTGTTAAAACCTGTAATAAAATTGAAATTGAAATTATGAATCACAAAACGTCAAAACCACCGTAATGAGACGAAAACCGTCGAAATGTCAAAACCATCAAAATACATCGAAATCCATCGAAAATGTCAAAATCGAAAATTTTCGCATTTTTGCCAAAAAAAAATACTACAGTTCCTGGACAGTATTATGTACAGAAACTATCCTATCAAACTATGATTGGATATATTAACCTATTTTCTTTAAAATTCAAGAATAAATTTAGCAAAAAAAACGAATTAAGAAATTATAAGAATAATAATAATCAATAGACTATATTATACAATGGTTTTAAAATAAATTTAGAAAAAAAACATTAGAAAAGAACATTAAAAGGCTTGAAAATTAGATAAAGTTAACGAGGAGTTGCGTTCACAATTCAAATATTTAGAAGAGATAGTTAAAGAAGAAACCAAAGCCAAACAAGAAACTTTAATAATTTAAAGAGAAGATTAGAGAATGAGAAGAAGAAACCAACTCTAAGCAAGAAAATTTAAATGAACTAGAAACATGGATCAGAAATATCTAATTAATTATTTATGATGATGCTATTAAAGTTTACTGGGCAAAACCCTAATCCCAAATTTTGACGGGTTTCGACGTACTTTCACAATTTCAATTTAATGAAATTTTAACATGTTATCTATAAATCAGGTTTCCGAAAGGTTTATATCTATTTTTTTTTTTTTAGTAAACTTTTGCGGTTTGCCTTTTAGTAAAAATTTGCCCAACAAATGTTAATCTTAGTGAAAGATTAGATCAGTTCAGTTCCGATTTGAAAGGAAAAAAATCGCGATTTTCGAATTCTATTATCAGTGATTCAGACTAAATAAGGAGGTGCGTAGTAATTAAGTATCGATTCGATTAAACCTTCGAACGACATCTTGGTATGATTGTGAATTTAGTATAATAATCAACTTGTTAGGGTTTATAATATAAATTATAACAAAAAAATTATTTTTTATGTTATTTGCTACTTTTTGTCACACAGGCTAATGTATTATGTGTGAAATAGATCAAATTTAAATATTACTATTTTTTTTTTTTATTCGAAGTTTTATTACTTTGAAACGCCAATATTTTAATGGTTACACAAAATCAAACATCTATTCGAATAGTGGCAAAAAAAAAATTTTCTTTTCCTAGACATTCGTTCATGAATAATTCATACTATCAACATTTGCTAAAGTATTATTGTTCCAATTAGAAATCAATTATTGATAACAAATTTTCATCTCAATCCAAGTAATGCTTTTTAATTATAAATCTTTGATAAATAAAAATATATTTTAATGGAAAATAAGTAAATGTATGGTTCTAAATACATATTGATTTAACAAAGACGGTTCAATAATCAAACATTTTGTGAGTTACTTTCATCATCATCATAATGAAAGAAGCAAACCTTTTGTTTTAGAAATCCTCTGTTTTCTATCAATGTACAATTTGTGAATTTTTATACCTTCGAATTAATTATAAAATCGATTAAGAAAGTGAATTTTTTAAATTTTACAATTTTATGGTTTAAGATATATCTAATTCAGCTAATTAATATGTTATAATTCACCCGTTATTTGTATAATTATTATGTCATAGCAATCAAATGTTTCTATGAAAATTATACTTCATTACTCTTTCAGTATGTATTATTTTAGAAGTACACAATATATATATACACCTGTATATAGTCACATCATATAAAATCCTTTTTTTATACTTATGTCTATATTAAAACTAGTTATGATTAAATTAATACCAAATTCCTCTATATTATCACAAGCATGAAACGGTAACATTTATTACGCTATCCATTGTGCTGTATGGATTTTTATGAGTAAAAAGGAATGAAAGAAGTTTATTCAAAGCACACAAACAATTTTTCAATTATATTAAAAAAAAATAAAAAAAAAAAAATTAAATCCAATAAGTCATCGTGTGTAACATATTTTTATTAAGATAATGTCATCTAAATTTTTATATTAAATTATAGATTATAATATTTGGTTTATATACAGTATTACAAAAAAAAAATTCCTGACGCAGGAAAGAGTTCTTTCTCATTTTTAGCACCTTTTTCCTCCAAAGATGGAATCTTATAATCATCGCGAGAAATATTTCAAACTAATGCGTTTCTATTGACGACGGCCAATATTCCCATATTACGAATAGATTGTTAATTTTATTGGCTTGCCCCCGATTCAAAATAATTGGTCACAAAGTAAAATTTAAAAAGTAATGAGCGAGCGAACTCGGTAATTTTATTTTTTTATTTACAAAATTCTTTCGGTTAATATCGTTCTACACTTTTGATTTAACTACGAGGTTATCATTTTTACACTTATAGGTTGAATTACTTGATATTGGGTAATCGACTATTAAAATCACATTACGAAATAATATGATCCATAACGTGATTTTAATAACCGATTACAAATATTTTACAGATTTAAAGAGTAATTACCGAAAAGAGCTAGACATTTATTTTTTAAAATAAAATAAAAATTCCTAAATTATCTTTTAAAGTCAAGTCGCGTGATCAGTATGAAATGAATCATATCGGAACCGTACGAATTTACAAAATATTCATCCTTTGATAGTAATTAGTATTAAGTGTATGTAAATTATTTTCATTTTTTACTAGAATTAACATTATTTATTTGATTCACCTACTAATATTGGAGGAATTACTGAATCGAAGAATATTAAAAATATGTATCTTAAGTTGCATTAATAATGAATTATGCTTAATTTGCGAATGAGAAAATTATATATCGAATTAAAATTTTTTTTTCCTGAAATGATTAATGCTCTGGAATTATTATAATGGTCATTCGGGATTATGACTTCGGGATTATGACCCTACGGGATTTTGATCGGGATTTTGAACGACTCCCAAATATAAAATAAAAAATAAAATGTATCCTATGAAATATATTTAAAAGTTTAAAATGTCAGTTTGTTTTTTTTGTAAAAAAATTAATTAATATCATTTATTCATTTTTTAGAAAACAAAAAAAAAACAGACTAGACACGGTACACATAAAATAAAAAATATCTGGATTTATTTAGAAGATTTCTGTACGATTTAGCTTCCAAATGGTCCAAAGACTGAAGTTTTAAGCATCATTTCATTTATTGCCCTTTTTTTTGGTATAGTATGATCGTTCGTATGATTGATTGTGGTTAATATAAACCTATTTAATATTAGCCTAGCCCTAATATTAATCTTTCTTCGCAAGGAAAATATTCCATTTTCTTAAAGTTTTTTAGATTAATAAAAAAAAAAATTGTTAAGTCGAGCCGGCTCGGAAATGCGGTTCAAGTGCATTTTTTTTTCGAGTTAGGAATTTCAAAAAATATTGGTAGTCGACTACAAATATTTTATTACAATAACATTTCATCAGATTTACAATTGTACGTTTTCATATCAATGTTTCATCTTTAGAGTTAGTAAAATATATTAACAAAAATACACGCACCATTTGTTTACATAAAAGTATACGTTATTTAATAAATTTATTTAGGAAATTGATAATAAAACTCAATTTAACTTACTATTCATTTAAAAAATAAAAATATTGTGCGCATATAATTTGCATAAATATACATAAAAAAATAACAAAAAATAATGTACATTTTTTTTTTTCCAATATAGTTTAACTTCAAACCATTTCATACATAGATAGCACTTGTATGAATGGAATTAATATAATCATCAAAGTGTTTCCTTTTATGTCTTTGCAAACTGCTTGCAGTAGTAAATGCTTTTAAACACCCCTGATGATCACATAGAAAAGGTCTCTCTCCGGTGTGAGACCTCTCATGATCCTTTAGATGACCCGAATGAGTAAATTTTCTTCCACATTCCGGATAGCAACAAACCATTAATTTATTTCCGGTATGTAATCTCTGATGAGTTCTTAAATCGTTCATTCTACTGAACATTCGACCGCATCCTGGTTCTTCACATTTCCATGGCTTTTCATCTAAATGTGTATATTTATGCGTTTGTAATCTTGTAAGATTTGTGAATGATTTCCTACAACCTGTCTCTTCACAAGAATAGATTTTCTCCAGATCATGATTTTTCTTGTGTCTAAATAAAACATCAGACCTTTTGAAAGTCTTGTCACATCCAGGAAAATCACAAATAAACGGTTTATCTTCCGAATGAGTGCTTTGATGTTTCTTTAAATTCCCCAATAAAGTAAAAGCCTTATTACATTCAGTCACTCCACAAATGAATGGTTTCTCATCAGAATGGGTTTTTTCATGAATTTGCAAATTGCCTAATTGACTAAATCTCTTGCCACAATCTTTACATTCATAAGGTCTTTCTCCTGTATGAACTCTTCGATGATTTTGTAGGTGACTCATTTTAGAAAATTTCTTATAACATTCAGCAAATTCACACTTGAAATACAAATCTCCCGTATGTTTACGTTTGTGAGTTTTTAAATCATCAGAACGTTTGAATGTCTTTGTACAACCTGGTTCATCACATGCATGAGGTCTATCCTTTGAATGCATACACTTATGAACTTGTAAACTACTTGATGTAAAAAATGATTTTTCGCATCCAGTCTCATCGCATACGTAGGACTTCTCCCCATTATGATTTTTTTCATGTACCTTTAATCCATGTGAAGTAGTATAGGATTTCGCACAACCTGATTCCGTACATTTAAATGGTCTTTCGCCAGTGTGAGAACGTTTATGAATCGTCAAATTAATTTCCGTGCCAAATGATTTATTGCATCCGGGCTCATCACAAGAGAAAGGTTTCTCTCCATGATAACTTCGTTCATGAATTCTTAATCCATGTGAAGTGGTATAGGTCTTTGTACATCCATCTTCTTTACATTTAAAAGGTCTTTCGCCAGTATGAGAACGTTGATGAACCTTTAAATTACTCTTTGTACTGAAAAACTTGTTGCATCCAGGCTCGTCACATTTGTGCTTTTTAATTGATATCGTATGATCACTTTCATTTTTTCTTCTCTTGACGGGATGAATTGATTCGGAATTACATTCGTCACTATCATAATTTATCAAATCTTCTTGAAGTTGATCTATCACTTCCGTAGTCGCATCAGTGTTAACATCATCATAAATTTCCATGGCATCATTCAGGTAATTCATCTTTCTAATCACCAGGTCGTCAATCTTTTGTAACGTATGTTGTAATTTTTCCACTTCCTCCTCCTTTTCAGCTATATATGATTGCTCAAATTTTACTAAAGGATCTGTGTAAAACTTTGAGTAATCAACAAAACTTTCGTCTATAAAGTTACTCTGGTTGATTTGGACCCTATCCTTTTCATTCAACTGATGGTTATCTGTGGATGAAGAAACAGCCTGTATAACAGAAATGATGATATTAATAATAAATGACCGAATAAATTCATTCGTGAAGTATTATGATCCTCATATCGGTTGGAATTTTTTCTATAAAAGAACTTTTTAATTGATTAATGGTACCAACTTTAAAATCAAATAAATGATGTTCTGCATTGTTAAGATTCGACTTTCCGCCGGCGTGATAACCAGAGGTATTAGAACCTATCGTAAATTGAAAGTTACGAGCTGTATTAGTATTCGAAACCGCTTTTTTTTTTTAAAAAAAAAAAAAAAGACAAAAGCAAATGAAAGATGAAAAAGCTTTCATTAACTATTACGCAATGAATTGAAACAATAAATAGGATCATTATTATTATTTATTTATTTGTATTGATACCTGATGCCATGTTTTTTTAAAAAAACAGGACGACGAAATAAAAAAAAACCAACGCACAAATGACGACGTTAGAATTGTTAGAATTTAAGCAAGCAAGAGATGATAATCCACAATGGTGCACTAAATTCTAAATTTGATTGTTTGGGGCTTATATGCAGTTTCCATAAAAAGGGATGTCGATCAAATGATCAACGGGCAAAGAATTTATTGCGTAATGATGCGTTTTTTTTTTACGATGATACTTTGCTGCTGTTCAAAAGTTTTTTTTTTTTTTAAAAAAAAAATTTATCAAGCAAAATACTGAGTGATATGAAAGTTCTTTTTTTTTTGTTCATCTTTGAGTATCTTTTTCATCGAAATTCATTTCATCATGATTTTAATCCCATTTCCGACTCACCCATCCGCTTCGGTTGATTATCTATCTAAATCATCATGAACACAGTTTCTAGTAGATCTTGTGATTTAGGAGATTGGTTTCAAATCTGGATATGAAATGTGTGAAAAGTTCAATGCATGCCGCTTACCGTACATTTAATTTTCTAAATATAGTAACAACAATTCGCTGAGCCCAATTAATCAACGATAAGTGATAAAATATTAGAAATTAATGAGATGAATGTTTGTTATTTAAAGAATGCCTTTTAAAAACTTTAAATTTTTAACAAAATATTAAGTAATCGTTAAATCACACAAAGGTAGTTAGGAAAAATAGCGGCGATTAGGATATTAGAAAATATTACCTACTTGTCATCATATATTTTTTATATTGGAACGTTAACCCATCTAACAATAATTTAGAATCAGTTTTCCTTATCGAGCATATATATATATATATATATATTTTAAAAAAATGTAATTATTATAATATTTTAATAAAAATTGCTTAGTTTTATCAGCATGTATAAATCATTTAAATAAATTACTTACCGTGTTAAATGAAAAAATCCATAATACCAAGTTTCGCAACATGAAGGGCATTTATAACCGTACCTCACTGAATAATTTTTAAACATTTGAGGTTGATTGCCCCTTGTATATTCGCATGATAACGCCATAATGTATTTCTTTGTGGTAAATTTTATCAACATACCAAAAATAATATCTTTTTTTATACCTTCCTTATACTGTATAGTGCTGAATCTTTGAATTATAAACCAATTTCATTCGATGTATATAATACTTAAACCGTTGTTAAGTCCGGAGCAAAAGTGTAACGAAAAAGACCAATCACGAATCGACTCAATTTTCAGAGTCATACTGCGTAGAATTATATAGTCCTTCGTTACGCTCCGGACTAAATATGGACGGTTTGTATGATTTACTATGTCACGTCACGTAACTCTGTGCCATTTTATGTCGATCACCTTAGGGTGCCATTTTTATTTGTCACACCACCGCTACTTTCATTTATTTCTGACCTCTTATCGTTATATGTTACATGATCAACATAAAATAGATTTACAGACGTGCGTTGAATAGAAAATAACCCATATGATAAATGTGAAAATCCACTGCTATTATCCTATAGGAAATGAATATGTTTCATTCCACCTACATATTTTTTTGTAGAGGTTCATAAAAATACACCCATTCCAAACGTTAAATAAGGTGAATATGATAAAACAAAAAATGAAGAAATACAATTATTATTCCCTTCATAAAGAAATTTTATTAAATGCAACGGATGTAAATAAATTTATTACATTTATGAAGGAAATTCCGATTATTTAAATCTTTTTACGCTTCATTATCTTATCTCTTTTGTGTTTGTTTGCATTGTAATACATTATTAAAGTATTTTGGATCATCCGAATCGTATGTCCGGTTAACTTGTCGTGAAACTGCACCGATTTTTTTTTTTTTAAAAAAAAAGAATTCTTATACATTTATGACAAGATAATTATCGTAATTTATTTTCCATTTTTTTTTTTTTTAAAAAAAAAAAAAAAGAATGAATGAATATTCTTTACCATAATTATTTAAATATTTTTTGGTGTGAATCATGTAATATTTGTGATTAATTTATTTGGTGTACAAAATATTATTATAACCACCTTTTTGATAAAAAGCGTACAAATGAAAATATTTATTTGTAGTATCCGGGAGAGTTTCAGTACAAGGGGAAACTGGAATTTTTATCTAATTTTGGGTTCTTTGCTAATTTGTGCACGTGACTTGATCGGTCAAGTGAACCAATAAAAAATTTTTGACAAATTCATAGTAGCATAGTTTTCCAAGATGAGAACGATGAAAATTTTTATAAAACAAAAAGACCAATTTTCTACATCAATTGATTGTAATAAGAAATTTTAATATAATAAAATTTTGATGCATCTACCAATATGTTTGATGGTTCTTTTACCACGCAACTTATTTTTTTTTTCCCTTTCGAAATGAAAATGACTTCAATACTCCATACTTGTCTTTCAAAAGGTCTTGCTTCGGTATTCAATGATGCCGTTGATTTTAATTGTTATAGTTCAAAAATGGTAAAAGCAAAATTTTTGAGCACATTCACCATATTTCAAAAGTGTCTTTTCGTCCAATTTGATTACACAAAGGAATAATACCAAAGATAAAATGGTTCTTAATTCCATTTTAAGTAACCAGCTGCAAGAAATTACAAGATTATTTTCTTGAAATGATCTTTCAAACTGAATCCATTTATCACTAGATAAAGATATCCTTTCTTATGATGTTTGGAATTATTTAATCAAATGAGACTACTCAATTGGGAAGTAATAAAATAATAGAGCTGAATGAATCTAGAAAATTTGGAAGCATTTAAAAGAATGTTAAGTAAATTCATTCCTCTTATTCGATTAGTTGAAATTTCTCGTGCTGGATTTTATGATAAAGTCGACCTAATAAAGATATCATTCATGAAAAGGCTATTACAAAAATATCTTGCGAAGTCAATAGCACAACGTGGCGAAAACTGAAATAAATATGATATGATTAAGCGAAAAATCATGCAACTATTATTTCCAATTGTATATTTTCATATGATAATAGGTATAAACCTGATTGTTGCAAAGTGCTTTGGGTAAGAACCACTTGTATCACTGATAAAAAGCACAATCAAAAAGAATCTATGGTTAATTTATCACATTTGATATGTGAGTTTTTTAAAAAAGTTATTATCAGAAAAATTTGTCTGACAACAATTATCGGGATTGCCTTGGAAATTTAATGTTCTTTCATATGTTTTCACAGTAATTTCGTTATTGAAGAAATTGAACTTTTAGTATATTGAGAAATAATACTTTTTTATATCGTTGATTGTTACATTTCTTTGCATATTAGTTCTAAAGTAGTACGTAAAGTTAAACTTTTAAAAGTAATAAATCCATCTATCAATCAACATCAGAATATTCCAATTTCAATAATTGGTAATCCAAATAAACAATCATAAATCGAACAATAAGTCTTCTGGCCACACTAAAATAATTTACTAAAAAAGAGCTCCATATGAATTTTAGATATAAAAGTGATGGTTCTCAGAAGAAAAGAAATAATTTCCTCAGATTTTCTCAAATAAATTGTAAAGATAACGAAACATTTTATTGCTTACCCACATTCGGGTATTATAAATTCAATTAAACTCCCAACCTTTCGCTTACTTTTATAATCATTTATATTTAAAAGAATTTTTAAATGTTTTAATAATCGATTTTCTTAATTCGAATTTCTATGAATTTTTTAATGTCTTAATAATCGATTTCCTTAATGCGAATTCGCTGGTCTCTATGATAAAGAGATTCATGATCTGCTCCGGCCCCATAAAAACTTGATAACGACCGATGCGAGGAGATTTTGAAAGGAACTTAAGCTAATACGTTTGGCGTGGCGAAACAGCCAGCTCACACGAAATTTCGACTTTCAGTTCATGGTTTTGGCTAGTTAATCGGCTCAAAAGTTGAATGTTAACCTGCTAAAGGTGCTCATATAGGTCAGACCCCTCTAATTCTATCAAAAGTTATCAAAAGTGGTTTCAACAAGAAATCGACCTACAAATAATACTCTGGTATACCGACAACTGCGCATTCTGCGCTACGCATTGAATTTATATGTCCAATTAGATAAATCTCTATAATATTAACTAGGGTTAGGGTTTATTTATAAGTTCCCATTGGAGAAACTTATCTCTACACGAAGTATATTCCCCTTTTATTATTTAATGATAGAAATTTGGTTTTTCTTGCAAAATAGATGATTTATAGTATCTTCAACAACCTCAACAAATCTCCGATTTATTATATATTATATCTTATTCTCCGCGCGTTATTTTTTTTTTTTTAAAAAAAAAAAAGTGTGAAACTTCATTCGTAAATACTTTCCAATTTCTTTATTTCCTTGTAAATAAAATAGATAAAACTAAAGAATTATTATTGATTTGTTGCAATAGTTTACGTGAAATAATTGACTTTACAGTAATTTACTCATTTTTATAGTTCACTACAGTTAGATAAATATTTAATTAAAAAAAATTATAAGGAATTGAATTTAGAATAAAGCAAAGATTAATATCTCCGATCATTCTTTTTATTGTAATCCTGCCACGGAAGAATTTTTTAAACTAAAATTTTGCTTAAATACCGAAATATATTCATAAATAAATACTTACAATATATCCTATTATTTTTTCGCGCGGAGTTGTTTGATAATAACAAATAAATTAAGGAAAATCATAAAGGTAGAGTTGAAATTGACTGTAAAGAAAAGGCAACTGCACACACGGCAACAAAATATTGAAATAAAGTTTTGGTATGGTTCATTTGATAAACCGTAGCCTATGCTGCCTGAGAATTTGGTGATGCCTCCTTTATATTGGTGAATCTCAGAGCTTTAAGCATGATCTGCTTTAGCCGTACGATAATATAGATATTGTATGGTGATTATTTACATTGGTACCAATATAAATAACGCAATGTACAATATTCATCTATATTTGGCAGCCTTTACGAATAGTTCAAAAGCCATAACAAATTCCTAAATTTAAAATTCTTCTTACATCTTTATAACGCCCCATAAGAGTATTGAAATTTTTATCAGCATACTCCATCACTAATAAATACTTATTTAAAGTCAATTTCTAAACTTTATATAACATTATATTATCGAAACTATCGAAACGTGATTTGAGGTTGTAATTCCATAAAATCAAATAATATTATATATATGCTTTCATATTAAACAAGCTAAATACATATTCTATCTTGCAATTACCTCACGAACAATTTCTTTGAAAGTGTCAAGATCAAAAAAGATTTTAAAGCAAAAACCCGTTTAGATCTGAGACTGTTCTGGGTATCATTTATACATTATTTGCATTGTATAACTTTTTTTTCAGCCATGAGACCAAATTATATTATCAGATGGATAAAGTATACGATTCATTTTGTATGATCATTTTCATACCATTCTCTTTAGCTTTGTTTTTCAGTCATTGTCAGAATGAGTAATGTGATCGATAGCCACAAACCTCTTGTGTGTTTCTTTGTCTTTCATGTACCCACGATAAGATCTATTTATTGGTTTTCTAAAGTATGTGAGCTTGAAATCATTATTGATCTTTTCTGATAGCCAGCTGTTGTTTTTTCTCTTGGTCTCAAAATGCAAAGCTCTCAGAACTCTTGATCTTTCCATGAGTTCATATGGTTTCTTCCTTGGTGTTCTCATAGAATTACTGAATAGGGATAATATGTAGAATTGATTCCAATATTTTTTCGAGAAATTTTGTGCACGTATGGTGATGGTATGCTTTAGGTCTTTCCTGATCTTGAACTTCAACCTGGTTTTGTTATTTTTGAATTGAAATTTTTAACAGCTTCATCTACAGTTTCGTCAATTATGTTATTTGGTTTATCATCATAGGCTTTCTTACTCCTTAATTTTAAATACGCGATCCTTCTCAGGAATTGTATCTTTGAAATTTATCATCTCCTTACATTTATTCCCATTTTTATCTACACGCACAATTAAAAACCATCTACTCTGCAGATAGTCAATGATCATGTTATAGATCAATCTCACCAACCCATCCATCGCGCGTTTCTGCGCAAGATTTGGGTACAATTTCACTTTCAACGTTTTGTTCACGTTTTTGTCTTCTTTTCTTCTCTTGTTTTTTCTCACTGTTGATACTTTCTTTTCTTTTCTTTTCTTTCCCTTCTGTGCTTGGCTGCTCTTCTTTCTTGCAATCTGCAGATGAAGATGATGTTGATAGCAAGAATATTTTCGGACAGCTCATGATCGTCGGTTGTTGAATCGTCGAAGAGAACCACGAGTTTGTAGAGTTGAGTGAGAACACGTATTTGAGGAGTTCGTAGGCGAACCTGCATAATCAATCACGGTGGGTAACCACAATCTCTCCGACAAGACCTTTGCACATTGTTCCAGTAGGGTTTGCAGTCTTTTGCGTTTGAAGTTGATTCCTGATCCAATGTCACTGATGAGTTGTTTCTGCCATTCAAGGCCTTCTTTTTGCTTGACACGAGCGTAGAGTAACTCTTTTTTGGTGGTGGTGATTTTGGGAAGTCAACTCTGGAAGAATGGAAGGTATATATATTGTAAAGGCGAGTACCAGAAAGAGACGTTATAGAAAGGTGTATGACGTTTCCTAGTTGCTTAATGTGCAGATAAATACATAAAGAAAGGAGGGATTAGTTTCAGTACGATTTTGATTCTTTCTTATATTGATAATTTGATAAGCATTACTAAGCAGATGTTACGATTGTAAATTACTAAGCAAAAATTTACTACGGTGGAGTTTAAAATAATCGAAAATCGTTACAATGATTCATTTCGCGAAAAAAAAAAAAAAAAATTTATTACTCGTTTAATTGTAGAGAATAATTATTTTCTAATAAATTCATTAGGTCAAAATTTAAACGGTTATAAATATATTATATTTAGTCCGGTTTTTCACCACCCATAAGAAATTTCTAATTTTTAAATTTTAACAAAATAAAAGTTTAGTAATTGAAAGCATTCTAAGACCATACATTGCCTCTTCAAATATTACAACTGAACTTTACCAATCCTTGTTCTGTAACAACTCCTTAAATTTTTTTTCCTGCCTTTTTGTAATGATTTACTAGTTTCCCACCTCGATAACATATGGCAAGGTTATTAATGGCAATCCTATTCCCATGATCTGCCGCCTTTTCAAATAATTCAATTGCTTTTTTCTCGTTAACCCTAGTCCCAATTCCATTAAAAAAACAATTTCCCAAATTTAAAATTCCAAATTCATAATTTTCTGCTGCCGACTTTTTAAAAAGTTCAAAGCCCTTGTAATTATTTACATCAACCCCTTTTCCATACAGATTACAATTTCCTAGGTTATTCATAGCAATAATATTCCCATTATTTGCAGCCTTTTCATACAAAGAAGCGGCCATTTTGAAATCCTTTTTCACACCTATCCCATTTTCGTAAAAGTAACCAAGCTGTAATTGTCCCATAGCATAATGCTTGCTCGCCACCTTTTCATAAAATTTGAAAGCTAACGTTTCATCTTGTTCGGTACCATATCCAAATTGATAACATGTCCCAACATACCTTTGTGCCAATGCATGATCCTTGTTCGATGCATCCAAAAATAATTTAAATGCCAAATTAATATTCACGCTCGTACCTAATCCATAATAAATGAGATATCCGAGCAAAAAAATATAATTGGAATCATCTTGATTATATAATAACCAATGAAACAGTTTTTGTAGTGGAATATCAAGAATCTCAAGGTAAGCAAAAAGGCGTCGATTAACTATTTTGTCCTCAATTCCTTTATTCCTTTCTTTAAAAATGAGATAAACCATTTCATCAATGATCGTATCATAATCCTCTTCTACACTCATCTGGTTAACACTTTGAAAGATTTGAGATGGTTCTCCATGTAATGGAATATTAATACTTGAATCAAGTACGTTTAAATTAACTTTTGAATTTTGTAAATCTTGTTTTGTTGATGAATATATTCTTGTTATATAATTATTTATTTGATCATTACTCTTCACTGCAATCGTTTCTGGAATATTTTCTATTAATTTAATGACCACTTGATTCATGGTTGGACGATTGCGTGGTTCTTTTTGCCAACATTCTTTTTTTTAAAAAAAAAAAAAAAATTATTCAATAAACGTTTAAAGTTGATAATTATATACAGTAAATATTGTAGTTTCATTAGGATGAGATATTTACCAGTATAAACTTTTACATAATTTTCAGGTGTATCAGAAATAGCTGATTCTCTAAGACCATGAAAAATTCTGACAGATAAATCTACATCATCATATTGTTTCCCATCAACACAAAAGGGAGGGCGACAACTGGAAATTTCCCATAAAAGTACACCTATACTGTAAACATCACTCTTTTTGCCAAGTATATACGTTTGTAAATTAAACATTTTCGGGTCAACATAAGGAATCACGCCAAAGAAATTTTGTTTGCAAGTTGCTTCCTCGATTCTTTTCGACAATCCAAAATCAGCCAGTTTAATATTTTTCTGATGAATTAATATGTTGTTGGAGTGCTAATTAGATAGATAAGGTTTAGTATCTTAATAATGTATACTTTAACTTGAAATCAAACCGTGTGATGAAATAATTTATTATTACCAAGTCTCGGTGTACAATTCCTTCATCGTGTAAATATGATACAGCATAAGCCAATTGAAATGCCAAATTGTACTTATCATTCCAAGTAAGTGTATAAAAATTATTCCTCAAATAGCTACGAAGAGTACCGCCATTAGCATATTCCGATACTAACAGATATTGTTTTCGATCTATTTTTTTTTTTTTTTTTTTTTTTTAAAAAAAAAAAAAATCAAAAAGTCTTAATTATCTTAAATTTTAACTTTATATAAAACAAATACTTTTAAATATTTATCATACATGGATCGAAGGTTGTAACACCACAAAAACGAATCACGTTATCATGAAAGTCAACTTGATTATGAAGTTCAAACTAAATCAAATTCATAAACATTAGAAATGAATAATAGAATATGTATCGCGAAGGGTAGTAAATAATATTACCTCACGTATGATTTCTTTAAGTGCGAAGATGTCACGGTTATCAACAGTTTTCAACGCATAAAGAGAATTTTCAAAACTTGCACAATAGACTTTTCCGAAACGCCCAAACCCGATTTCTTGAAAATCGTTAAATTTTTCATATCCATAATATTTAATATGATTTTTCTGAGTGGCATTTTCAATCCATTCAATCCAATCATCGGTATGAAATTGCATTTTGACTTTTATTTTGATGTGTGTTGTAAAGAAATAATTGTTTTAGAGAAATTTAGTTTGTATGAAGGAAAGGAGAAATGATAAAATCATCTATTTGGGGTTCTAATCACACGTGAACCAGTCGGTCTACTTCGTGAAACTTTTAACTTGTTTTTTACATGCTGTGCATGTTCCACATCCTGCACTCGCAATCATTGACCCCAATAACACAGCAATATACTTTTCGTCCTATTTCTTCAAAAAAAATATATATTATAATAATAATCGGCTAATGCGGCGCATTAACGAGTTTACGCAAATTGATTATTTAAGTTTTGATATTTTTTTTTTTGCTAGTAGAAATAAACAAGTGCAGTTAATAGAAAATCCCAGAAAGCCAAAATTAAGACACGCCCTTCCCTCCTAAGATGTCCATCACAGATCGAATCAAAATAATGATGAAAATGTTAGATTTAAAAAAAAATAAGAAATAGATCAAATTTATATACATTTACAACCTTTATAATTAAAATAGAAAATATCCATTTTTTAAAAATGTAAAATTCTTTTTATTAAAAGATGTTACATAAGATATTTCTTTTTATTTTATTAACTTACATCAAGACATGGGCATACTGAATGGTACCTTATCAGGTAGTATGTATGATATTTTACAATTTAACTTATTTGAAGAAAAAAGTTCTTAATATTTAAAATAAAATATTAAAATTAAAAAAAGCTATATTTTGATAATCTGAAATAATTTTGATATTTAATATTTATAATTAATTTTATTATTTGAAATGATTTTTAATATTTGAAATCAATTTCAATTTTTGAAATGATTTTTAATGTTTGAAATAATTTCAAATATTTGAAATATTTTTGAAATTTAAAGTCAATTAGAAGGTAAACGTCAAAGATAGAAATAGAAAATGTACTATTAAAAATGTATAAAGAAACCAACTAATACAGCTACTGCTACTGCTACTGATCCATCCGGCCACTTAATTTTATAAAAATAAATTTACTAATAAAATAATTATATGATCAAAATAATAACTATTCATTATCTCATTTCTATTGACGAAGCACGTATGGGTCGTTTGCTATTAAAAGATATGATTCGTAACGTGATTTTAATAGAAAATAAGCTAGATGAAATAAACATAATTAAATTGCCACATTCGGCACACTAAAATATATCTATGCATTACACTTTTGAATGTAAATACATTCTATGCATTGCATTTTTCAAACATATCTTCTATATATTGCATTTTCAATGCAAACATATCCACTACCACGTAATTCTTATTGTAGACATAATCTATTTATAAAGATTATAAATTAGATATCATTAAAATAATCAAAGATTGTCTGATGAAAAGCAATCAAATATGATCGAAAGGAAAAAAGAAAAGACGTACCTGATTCTCTGATCAATACTTGACTTTAATACAGTAAAATATGACGAATGCCTTAAAAGGTTCACAAGAGATTGGATCCATAACAACTTGTAGAAATACTGAGCAATCTACGTTTTGAGCAAAGCCGATCACGTTAAAAATCAAAGTCGTTTTTTTTTACGAAGTTATGTGCGTTCAAAGTATTGTGAAATGCTGATATTCCTTGCGTATTTATTACTTTCACATAAATAATTTAATAAAATCCAATTGATCTCTTGATTATCCACATATTCGTTGATACAAGAACTCAAGGAAAATTAAGTATTTAATTATGACAAGTTGATAAGGGACATTTAAATATAAAAAAAAACATTGCGAGTCAGTATTGTATAAAAAGGGTTTGCAAACCGTAATGTGATTTAAATACGTTTTAAAATCATAATATATCATTTTTAAAAATAATATGATTAAATTGTATCATTAAGATGATTGATAATGTATATTTTATTTTATTTTAGTAAGATTATCTAATTATCTTTTATTAAATTCTATAAAATGGTAATAATGATTATTACAGATTTCCCATCAGCGGTTGTCCCGTGGGTTTTTCAAGTACATAATTAAGAAATTATTTTCAATGTAAAAAAACTTATTGTTGAAAAATATCAGACAATTATGTAGAAAATGAGGGAACGATTCAACTGTTTGTTCGTTATTTTTTTTTTTTGTGATACATTCATTATTAACAATCATTTCTCAAAAAATGATGTTACAAAGCTTTTTTTGATGGGAAAACTGTCGATCACACTTTACCAAATAAAAAATCGCATATTCTTTTCCTTTAAGATATATTTTGGCAATAATTCAAAACGAGAGAATATAGGCTGTAGCGTCTTTTGGTATTTATGAATATAGTTAGGTTTTTAACAAAGTTCAACGAACTAATTACAATAATTAAATTTTTGAATTTTTGTTTAGCTTATATAGATTTTCATTATTATTCTATTACGGAAGTTCAAACTCATTTGTTGTAATACTAAGAAAAGTTGCAAATAGTTTGTTTTGCCGATTTTAGTAATTGTGAGCCTCAAGTTTCAAGAAATTCATCTAAAAGTTGTTGAAGAGGAAATTTATACAAAAACAAAAATTAAATAAATTAAAGTAAAGGTTCGATCAAATCATTTGCGTTGAAAACTAGAAAAAACTTTATGTATAAATCAATAGAACATAGAGCTGAATCTTGATTTTCTTCACCTCGTGCGAGGATTTCATCCAAATCTATATAAAGAGGTACCTAATTCGACTTCAATATGATGTTTAGCACATCGCGGGAGGTACAACCCGTGATAGGCTTAAAATAAAGGGACCGATATCATTGTATTTATTTATAAATCAAGTGAGGTCAATAGTAACAACGCATGATTTACCAATTTAGGAAATACATATGTATATATTTTTTAATAAAAAAATGGTTATAATTTGACACATGCTAGCTATGGGCTAAAAAGAAGAAATCTTTTGTGAGTTCGTCATCTTTCTTATTATAGTTAGGTAAAATGCCACAATTTCGTAAGACTTCCTTTATTTAAATTCCCGTTATCAATTCTATTATTCAATACACAAATCCATAATTCTTTGTTGGCTTTCTTTTATTATTATTATTATTAAAAATGCCATCGTTTCTTGAAAAGATTTTTTAAAAAAAAAACTATACGACTGTCATAAAAATCATGCATTCCGTCTCTTTGATATGATTGATTATTAGTAGATAAGCAAAATATGTCTAGAAGAGGGATCGAGGAGCATGGTATACTTGTTTTTATGTCATAAAAGGTAAAGTCTTGTATATAAAAATCAAAATAAAAGTCGAACAAATTTTTATTTCAACCGTTCAAATAATATTTTTATTTTTTTAGAACAATTATTTTTTCTTTATATTTAACTTTCTTTATATCTGCATCTGATAATAAAGTATGTATGAATAAATTATTGTTTCGAGAATGTTGTTGCCAGATGAATTAACCGTAGATTATTTTTGTTAGTCAATCGAATACTCTGGCATCATTATGTTATTCAATACTCGTAGCAGAGTAACTTTTCCGCTCCAGTACATAGGAATCACTGTAGATTTTTTGGGATGGAAGATTTGGAAAATTGGTAAATATGATCAACTTAAATTCGTTTTATTTTCCTTTTCAAAAAGAAGAATTATTCAACAAACCCTTTTAATCCTTTTAATTATAGGTTCTTGACGATTTTATATTGTCATTTAAAAGAATGAAATATTTTCTTTGTAAGGTGATTGAGATCGAAGATCAATCAATATTATAGTTTACTGAGCAATCTTGAAGAGGAAGTGATAAGACTCATATAAATTATTTAGATTTTTCGGAATACACCTTCCTCAACTTCCAAAACCTT